GGTGGTAGGAGAAGAGGGCCTTGTAGTCATTATAAGGATTTTAGCTTATGCTCTGATTAACTAACATGGGAGATAGTCTGTAGTGCTTTGAACTGAGGAGTGATATGATCTAGCTGTGTTCACTCACAGGCTCATTTTTGCTACTGTGTGGAGAATAGATTATATGGGGGCCAAGCCGAAGCAGGCAAACCAGTTAAGAGTCTCTTATAGTAATTTAAACAAAAGGCTGGATGTGAGTCGAAGGAAAGAGGAGTCAAAGATGAAGTTTTTTGTAACTGGGATGAAATATATGCATGTATGTCTCTATCCATGATTTGTAATTAACTATATACAATATATTTAGTATGTATAGTAGTTATATAGAACATATATATAACAAGATAGATGTATACAGTTACCTTAAGGTGGGGATGGTCAGGGGTTGGTTTTGGAAAAACCTGAGATTCTTTTATACAATCCAGTAGAGATGTAAAACGGGCAGTTGAATATGTGAGTCGTGATGTTTGGGGGGTAGCGGTCTCGCTGGGGTTCTTAGACTTGAAGTGATATTTGAAGACCCAAGACTAGATGAAATCACGTAGCGTAACGTGTGAGCGTAGGTAGAGAAGAGCCTGAACTCAGGGACTGGACCCTACAAGTGTTGAAAGGTTGAAGACATGAGGAAGAATCAGCAAGGGAGACCGAGAAGGAATGGCTGGCAAAATATGAGCTCTGAGGAATAGCGGGAGAATGTGGTATCTGAGAAGCAAAATGGACAAGTCATTTCAAGAAGGAAGGTGTGAACAACTGTGAGAAAGCTTTTGAGGTGGGGCATGTTTCATTTCTTGGAGTCAAGGTTCAGGTCATGTGTCCAGGGATAGCTGTTGAATCCTAGAGCTGTGAGCCAATTTCTCTGGCTTTGGTGATTGGAGGACCCATTTACTGGAGGAGCGATTCGCCCATTGCTGCTCTGAATCTGTGAGAACTTAATTTTGTTTGAGTATCTGATGAGTTGGGAGGGAGGCAAGAGATATGGACCAGGCAGTTTGTTGTTTTAGTCACTGCCCCATGGTATTTGCTGCATACAGTTCTGTTTGAATAATTGAAATGCAAACAGTTAAAGCAAATGTTTCAGAATTCTGCACTGTACTCCTTCAGAGTCAGGAGGAGTTGGAAAAATCATGAATGGTGTTCAGAATCTGTGGCCAGAAATAATAGCCCTCTTGAATTGAAATCCCTGTCTTCCCACCTTGAGTGTCCAGGCCATTTGATATGGTGGGCCATCCTCCATTTGTCTCATTTGTTCTCCTTCTGGGTTCGGAGGAAGACAGAATTAAAGGTGTCCCATGGCAGTGGGGTGTGGTCATTTGAGTATATGGGTCAGATTTTGTTTTTTCTGTCCTATTATTTTCCTACATATATTGGTGTATTCTTGCTTCCATACATTGAGGTTAAGTGTCTCTCGAGTTACACAATGTCCTTAGTATCTACTGATAGTTAATTTATAAGATGCATCTGTGTCAATTTTTGTATCTATAGATAATTTGTAAGATATCACACTAAGGAAATACGGACAATGATAGTGCTTTGAACATGGTTGTAATTACTTTGAACATGGTTGTAATACTCTCTTGTGTTTTAGTTGAGTTGTTTGTATTTGGTACATGTGATTTGAAATTCATTTAAAACTTTTATTTTATTTTATTTTATTTTATTTTTAAATATTTTATTTATTTTTGAGAGAGAGAGAGAGACATAGCAAGAGCAGGGGAGGAGGGGCAGAGAGAGAGGAAGACACAGAATCCGAACCAGACTCCAGGCTCCGAGCTGTCGGCACAGAGCCCGACACGGGGCCTGAACCCACAAATCGTGAGATCATGACCTGAGCTGAAGTCGGAGGCTTAACCAACTGAGTCATCCAGGAACCCCAACTTTTTTTTTTTAATTTTAGAGAGAGAACGTGTGTGAGTGAGGGAGAGGGGTGGAGAGAGAGAGAGAGAGAATCTTAAATCTTAAGAAGGTTCCATGCTCAGCACAGAGCCCAATGCAGGGCTCCATCCTATTACCCTGGGATCATGATCTGAGCCAAAATCAAGAGTTGGGATGCTCAACTGACTGAGCCACCTAGGCACCTCCAATTTATCCATTTTTATTTAACAGATATATATTAATTACCCTTTATGTTCCAGGCACAGTGATAAGCCCTGGAAATATAGCCTAGTTTAGTGTTTGCATCAGTAAGTAATCCATAATTACCAGTCAGTAAGGATTTATGAATGTCAAGAAAGAACACACAGATACCTTTTCTGCTCCAAAAGATCTAACAGTCTTTAGATTGGGAGGCTGATTATTTCTGAATATGATTGATTATGATTATGATTAAGAAGTAGAAGCCAAACTGAGACAGATAATTTGGGGGGAGTACTGATGTGAGCAAGCGGCCAGTGAAATATCACTTGTGATTAGCCATATTCATAGCAGAGCTTGTGGAACAGGAAAGTCGGCCAATAAAATTTTGTTTACCCTAACATAGGTTCTCCATGGGGAGCAGTACTTGGAGTTGTATAAACCACTTCCCAGATCAGGTGAGTTCCTGATACATGGATTCCTTAATTGTACCCTGATTTTATTTCCTGACTAACCTTCCAAACTGTGTCATTGTGTTAAACTGGCACAGAGTGACTTTATTTTTTTTTTATTTTTTATTTTTTTTAATGTTTATTTATTTTTGAGACAGAGAGAGACAGAGCATGAACAGGGGAGGGGCAGAGAGAGAGGGAGACACTGAATCTGAAACAGGCTCCAGGCTCTGAGCAGTCAGCCCAGAGCCCTACGCGGGGCTTGAACTCACAGACTGCGAGATCGTGACCTGAGCCAAAGTCCGACGCTTAACCGACTGAGCCACCCAGGCGCCCCTAGAGTGACTTTAAATAAGTCATATCTCAAGGTGTGGATATGCATTAGAGTAGATTGATGTGAAGCAGGACCTATTTTGGTGACCTTAAGCTTTGTCCTTGAATAGTCTTGTTTATTAAATTATCTCGAAATACTAACAGTGTATTTCTAATGATACAGGTGTCATTAGCAACTGAAAAAGCATCTCTGTTGTATACATGTGTTCTAAACTTAGTAATTGTATATAGGCAGCTATGATTCCTATGAATAATGGTTTTTGATTCTTTTCTCAGGTATTTATGTTGGTAGCAATTTTCATAAAGGCAAGCGCATTAAAAGATAGAGGATTTGTTGTAATTAACTATTCCTGTTTTCATTTAGAGTAAGTAAAATCAGGTCTGCCTTAATAATGAATTTTCTTCTTCTCAGGAGTATCCTACTTGTTCAGTAAAGCTGCTTTTCTTATTCTTCGACTATAGTTTGATAGATTTGTTTCAGTGCTCTAATGTCAGCATATTGTCTAATTAAATACTGACCATATAAGGTGGTAAAATACCAAAAAAAGGGCTTATTTATCATTTCGCCTTATGTAACATGCAGGTCAGCAAGAAGCTAGAATCCTCCTTTCATGTTTTTCCAAAGCTTTTTATTTTACCAAAAAAAATGTATGAGATTCTCACTGTTTCAATTTGAATAGCCTTATTTCAGTGTTATAGCAGAAGTTTTCACACAACCGTTTTTATCTGAGGTGATGTGTGGTGACTGCCTTCATCAGACATCCACTGCTTACCTGCCATGGACAAGGCAGAGTTTTCAGTTTTAGATACATTTTCTAACCTGGCTACCTACTGAAACAGCCTGTCACTACGTTAAGTTACCTGTTATTTTAAATGAAATACGGTGTCTGGATCCCCACCGTGGAGGTTTTGTGTGCACGCGTGCATCGTGTGCGGGCATGTGGCGGTGGCACTGGTGGCCAGGGCAGAGGCCAGGAGGCTCCCTCCGTCTGGCATGTGCCAGTCACTCGACCGTGGGCTCCCTTGGGAACCATTGTTATAAGGAAAGTACGAATGTGTAAGGTAGATTTTTGCCTTTAGGGATTTTAAATATCAAGAGAAAGACACAGGCATATACTCCAAAATGATTACACCTGGAAAGTGATATGAATAGGAAGGTGTGGCAAATATTTTTCTTAATTTCGTGTACCTCCTTAGCGTCAAGTTACGCTTCTCATGAATTATTTTTCTTCAGTAGCTTCTGCGCATTTTCTTTAAGTACTTTTAAAGCTACCTCTCTAATGCCTCTCTAATATGAATATTCAAAATTCGAGATACTTGTGGTTTGGAACCTCTTTAAACTACAGAAAGCTAAGGTACGGCTATTATTTATAATCTTCCTGTGAAACCCAGCAGGTGATGAGACTCAGGACCACAAGCATCAGGAGACTGATGTCAGCGTCTCTGTCTCTCTCACTGGATTTGTCAGCTTCATTGGTACTGTCAGAGGCCGTGTGACTCCTCCTGGGGATAAAAAAAAGAAGCATTAGATGGAGGACAAGAAACCTATCAGCAGCCCTTTGTGTCCATTGTGAACTAGACCATGGTCTAGTTCAGGCTATGCTGGTCTCCAGATTTTCTGGGTATTAGAAGTTTGATCTTTATTGTGTTTCTACTTGATGTTTCAAATGTAGTGACCAAGGTATTCTCTTTCCTTTCAATGTTGAATGATTTAACAGTACCTTGAAAACTATATCAAAGCATAGCTTTTAGTTTTGCTGAACTTAACAGTGGAGATTTTGTTAAATTCTCTCATATCTTAAGATAATGATCTTACGGTCTTTTTAAAAACAGATGATTGATTGATTTCGCCGTTCATTTCAGGAAACTTAAAATGTGAAGCTGTTATTGCCGATGTCCTAGATAAAGGATCTGGTTTAGTAATTCTTATGGATGGTAAGTCACTTTTAATTCTTACAATAATATTGTTAGATTGACAGGCCTTGTGTGTGTCATGTGGTGCTTCACCATAGAAACTGATCGGTACGTTCACGTTCATCTTCCAGTTTTCGAGAAACCAAGATAACGATCAGCGTTCTAAAAATTTTATAAGCTCTCATGAAATAAGCGAGGATGAGGCAAAGGAGCAGGTTAGGGTAGCGGTGGGAAGAGTGGGGCATTTCAGGGGATTTGAGACCACATGACAAGAGCACAGAGGTGCAAACTGTGGCTGGTACAGAGAATGTAGTGGCGGACTGGTGTTTGGACTTGGCAGGAAGGAACACATCGACAACCATCACTGGATAATTAGTATTGTAGATACTCTTGTCTTTGTTCGCTCTTTGGAACTTAGAACGTATTTGGCTCTCAATCATTTTCATGAATGGTGGTTAAGTTCCTAATGTTGTGCATTCAAGCCTCTTGAACTCAAATGTGGTTTAAACACCACAGCCATATTTTATTTGCAGTGGGAAAAAAAAGGTTATAGTAGTTTAGTAAAGGTTGACATACTACTAATTAAACATCAGCTCAAGATACATTGCTTAAAATTTATTTATTCTGAACTTTAAGAAGAAATAGATATTGAGGCACCTGGGTGCTCAGTTGGTTAAGCATCTGTTTGACTCTTGATTTCAGCTCAGGTCATGATCTCATGGTTTGTGAGATCGAGCACCACATTAGGCTCTATGCTGACAACAGAGTCTGCTTGGTTCTCTCTTTGCCTCTCCCTCTGCCCCTCCCCTGCTCATACTCACTCTCTCTCTCTCTCTCTCTCTCTCAAGATAAATAAATAAACTTAAAAATTTTTTAAAAAAAGAAGAAATAGATCTTTATTGTCAAAAATTTTGGAAATAAATTAGAGTGGGAAATATGATATTGTCTGATAGTTGGAATATAGGCTTCATCATCTTTGTTCTAAATACACGGAAGGTCATACTGTATATGCTGTGTAGGAACTTGCCTTGTTTTTACTACATAATATGTTGAGAACATTTTTGATGCTCTTAAATATTCTCCTACTACATTATTTCTGTCAGCTCATAGTATTTCATAGTATGTCTGTTTTTTTCCTCTTTCTGTCTTTCTTGTCTTCCTCTTCTTCCTTCTCCCCTTTCTGTTTTAGATTTATATTTTTTTATTTAAAAAAAAAATTTTTAATGTTTATTTATTTTAGAGACAGAGAGAGCACAAGTGGGGTCAGGGCAGAGAGAGAGGGAGACAGAATCTGAAACAGGCTCCAGGCTCTGAGTTGTCAGCACAGAACCCGACCAAGGATTCAAACCCATGAACCATGGGGTCATGATCTCATGACCTAAGCTGAAATTGGACACTCAACTGATTGAGCCACCCAGATGCCCCATGTTTTAGATTTTTGTGTTTGTTTGTCATTCCAGAAGTTGGCCAACATTTGGCTGCAACTATCCTAGTTTTCTTTTTTCTTTTTATTATTATTATTTTTAAAGTTTATTTTGAGAGAGAGAGAGAGAGTATCAGAATTGGGGGAAGGGCACAGAGAGATCAAGAGAGAGAGAGAGAGAGAGAGAGAGAGAGAGAGAGAATCCCAAGCAGGATCCACGTTGTCAGTACAGAGCCTGACATGGGGCTCAATCCCACAAACTGCGAGATCATGACCCAAGCCAAAATTTAGAGTCAGGCGCTTAACCAACTGAGCTACCCAGGCACCCCTCTCCCAGTTTTCTTTTACTCTTCTCCCTGAGCTACCAGACATGTGACATACCTCAGAACAAAGTTTCTGCAGTAACCTTAACTTTCATTTTTACTATTTTCTCTTGACCCACTCCATTTAGTTAACTACAGCTTGATATTGGGTAATAATGTATTAGAATTTGTACGCAAAGTGCAAATGAAATCAGATATCCAATTTCCTGCGTAATACAGTTAAAAATCTTATTTTAATACAAATTGCCATGACCTTCCTTATTTTTTGTTATAATTAGATTTTTTTCTTTTGTGTGCAGTTCAAAGTCATATTTCTAATTTTCTAGAGCTGGAGATAGAGTTCTCACACCCTCACTAGGAAGTTAGTAGAAAGAGGGACAGCTGTCCTACATTCATTCATTATTTGCTTACTCATTCACTAACTCGTATCATTTATTCATTACTCATTAATTAAAAAAAAGGTTTTTTTTATTAGTGTTCTTTATTTTTGAGAGAGAGAGAGTGCGTGTGAGGGAGGGGCAGAGAGAGAGGGAGACAACAGAATCCGAAGCAGCCTCCAGGCTCCGAGCTGTCAGCACAGAACCCGACGCGGGACCCAAACTCACGAACTGTGAGATCAAGACCTGAGCCGAAGTCAATTGCTCAACCGACTGAGCCACCCAGGCGCCCCTCATTACTCATTAATTTAATAAATATTGGTTAGGTGCTTTTTCTGTCCTAGGTACCATTCTGATTGCTAGGAATATAATGGTGAGCAAGACCCATGATTCTGTCCTCCTGAAGCTTATACCTTGATCTTCACTTCTTCTTTTGTATTTCAGGTTCTTTTTTTTTTCAAGTATTTTTTTTTAAATTTTAGATTTATTTATTTATTTTGAGAGAAAGAGAGATAGAGAAAGAGAAAGAAAGTGAGAGCAGGGGAGGGGCAGAGAGAGAGGGAGAGGGCGAATTACAAGCAGGTTCCGCACTGTCAGCACAGAGCCTGATTGTGGGGCTTGAACTCAGGAACTGTGAGATTGTGACTTTAGTGGAAATCAAGTGTCGGATGCTTAACCAACTGAGCCACCCAGGCGCCCCTCTTTTTTTTTCTTTTTGTTAGTGTGTGTGTGTTTATTTGTTTATTTTGAGACAGAGAGTTCGAGCAGGGGAGGGGCGTCTGAGCCACCCAGGAACCCCTCCAGGCTCTTTTTGAGTCCTTTGGCAGAATGTTGGAATGTTTGAGAGTGTTGGATACCTGCACTGTATAGTGGGATTTTGTGAAATGTTTGAGATGGAGAGAGTTAAGATAGGATAGGCAGTTGGGGAGATTGAAGAAGAGGAGAGAGAAACTGCTGTTTCACAGTCAAGAGAGGGTATGTGAAGGTCCTCTTCACTCTGCCTTCTAGAGACCGGTAGTGAAGAAATTGAAAGATGCTTTATAAACCAAACTTGGGCATCTTTAAGTTCTCAGACCTTCTAGTGACTACTTTTTGTTTTTGAAACTTTTAAAGGAATTGCTGATCATGTCTTGGTTAACTGGTTATGTCTTTTGATAATAACTTCCTTTATTTTTTCTTTCATTTGCTTTTCAGTCTATTCTTATTTTGAGAAGGAACTTATATGTTACAATCAGTTCTCTCTCTTCCTCGTTGGCTGTGGAGGCATTGGTGGAAAACGGACGTCAGACAAAGTCAAGGTAGGCTATTATAAGCTTTATAAGCAAAATATATGGGTATGTAAGTATCTGTATGTATATTTTGAACTTATCATATTACCATAGGTGTGATTTAACAGAGTAGATCCTCAGTAATTCACACTTCTTTGAATCAGAGTATCTTTGAATTGATTGAAAGAGCTACGTATGTTTGCATATTTTAATATATAACACGTATTTGTAGAGGAGTCTGGCTGACATAAGTGTAATGTACCTGAGATAATTATGGGAACGTTTTTACTTTCTTCTACAGACTTTGCATCACCCAGAAGTCTTTAGGAAAACCTAACACATGCGAGTGATCCTTGTATAAAATAAAATCTTTATTCATTAAATGACTTAAGGACTTGTCTTGTGTAAGACGATTCTAGTTACTCTTTAGTTCTCAAATTCTACCTAAAAACATTTTTTTTTCTAAAAATATTTTATAACTTGGACATTACTTTTCATTTAACCTGGCCTTTACTTCCGATTTATTTGAGGTAATGAGATTATAATGTCGTAAACATTCTGGATAAATGAAGTACGCTTAAAGCAGTATTGAGAAACTGCTTCTGGAATGATGGTGTGAGGAGTCCCCTGGACCCTCTCCCCATTGAGTCAGCCATAACATCATAATGGGTGAAAGTTAAAACAAAAAGAAAACCATTTAAAGTGTCTGGAGATTGTCCTCAGGGCATATAGCAAATTAGGAAATATTTATTCAAGGAAGTCTTTATCTTGGTAAGACCATTGAGAATCTGTGGCATTTGAGCCACGGCTTTCTCCTTTTTCCCCTCATCGCTGGGCTCAGCATAATGGTAGTTCCACTCTAGGCATGTGTAGCCCAAGCACAGGATCCCTTGTCCCTGCTCCCAGAGCAGGCTGTCCTCCCAGCAAGAGCAGGTCACCAGATTTTCTATGCTTCCCACAGCCCCCAGCTTGTGTTGTTGAAGCTCTGTTCCAGGTAGAAGTGGCTAAGAGTTATAGCATTCTCGTTCTCTACCCGGCCTCCACATGTAGAGTGGAAACTCTGCTCCACACATGGTAGGTTGAGAAGACTGAAGGACCCAATCCCTCTTGCCCCCACTTGCCCACAGGGTGAGGAAAGCTGAGGAGGCCAGAAGCTATTACCCCAGCCCAGCACAACTTCTTGTAGAGTGAGGATGTCACTTGGAGATGAGTGGGCCACTATCCTTGCCCCTACTTCTGCAGTGGAGGAGAGTTTTCACCCAGGCACTGAGGCAGCCTGTAATAATAGAGATCTCTGAAGCTCATCCCAAGGAATAGAGTAGTTGAAAGTTCAAAGGTAAGGGTGCCCACAGATATTAAGTTACTTTAGATTAACAACCAAGAGGAACCTTGTAGCTCCATGAGAACAATAAGCTAACAACCAGCCCAGCTAGAAGTTTTCTAGAGAGAACCATGGAAAGAGAGAGCTAAGAAGAGCCCTCATGGGATCATGACAAAAACTGGCCTGACTTTAATTGGATCAGACTGTAGAGTGATTTATGCCCCAGGGCATTATTGAAAGTAATAGAGCAATCATCTGGCGATTAGTAGAGCCTAACGGTTGGGTATGATACCAAATGAGGCAGACACTTGAGCAGAGAGGTCAGGGAGAGAGAGTCACAGAGAACCCTGGTAAACCCACTGTTATCCCTGGGTACCTGACTGTGTTCTTGCCCAAGGCTATACCTCTGAGGAGCCACACCAGAAGTTGCTCACTATTGGGGAAATAGACTTAGCTGAAATAATCTAGCCAAGGCACCACACAAATAAACAAATTAACAATAACCACAAGCCTGTCACAGGGAAAGGAGGTCAATATCCTGAATTGTGTAATAGGTTATCTAAAATGTCTAGTCATCAACAAAAAATTACAAGACATGCAAGAAACAGGAGCACATGACCCATAGACAGGAAAATAAAACCAGAACAAAACAGGCAATAGAAACTGCCTTTGAGAGGACTTTGTAGACAGAGACTTCAAAGCAGCTCTTCTAAATGTGTTCACAGAACCAAAGGAAAGCACGCTTAAAGAAGTAAAGTACGATGACAGTGACTCATCAAGTAGAGAAAATCAACAAATAGAAATTATGTTGAAGAACCAAATAGAAGTTTTGGAGCTGAGATTACAATAAGGGAAATGAAGAATTTTCTAGAGCACTCAATAGTGGATTTGAACTGGCAGAAGAAAGAATCAAAAAGCCTGAAGATCTTTCTCTCTGTCTTTCTCTCTGTCTGTCTATCTATCTATCTATCTATCTATCTATCTATCTATCTCCAGAGACAAAAAAAGATGAAAAGAAAAAGAAGTCTTAGTGAAATGTGGGGTACCTTAAGTATAGCAAGATGCATGTAATGGAAAGACCAGAAGGAGAGGAGAGAGAGAGAGAAATAGAAAAAATAATTGAAGGAATGATGGTTTTGATGAAGAACATTAATCTACATATGCAAGAATCTGAACCAACTCCAAATAGGATATAGATGCAAAGAGACCCGCACTGTTAGTAAAAAGTACATTTAAAGATTAAATCAATGTAGGTGTGAATTGTTTGTCTAGTTCTTATAGTTATTATCACCTTTTGCACTGGGAAAAGGGTCTTTACCTCTTTCTCCTTGGTGGCCCAGGGAATGGATCTGGTTGTATAATTCCTTTCGTTAAACAGGGTCATTTCAGGGAAATCACAGCATAGATGAGGCTAGCAGTTATGAGATTTTAAATGTTATCTCCTGAACAGAAATTATTTTTAAAAACATTTTATCTAACTTGCAGATTTTGTTATGCTGAAACATGGTTGTTCATCAGATACTAATCTGAGTAAAGAGAGTACCAATTACTTTGTTAGTATTTAACCTGTGATGTTTTTTGGTTTCAGGAAGCTGTAGCCGTGCCTAATAGACCTCCTGATGCTGTACTTACAGATGTCACCTCACTTAATCAGGTGAGATTGTGCTTTTTGAAAAGCGATAAAGCCACCTGACTGCTGGCTCTTGAATATATAACTCTGATATCCTATAGTTTTGTGAGTCCAAACGTAGGGCTTTGTCCTTGAACATGATAAAGATTAAGGGTATATTTCCATAGTTGTAATCTGGTCTTTCTACATTTTTGCTCATCAGATTTTTTTCTCCACCATAAATCAAAAGAAAATATAGAAAGACTTTTCACATGTCACCTCAGGAAGCATCCTGCTTTGCTGGGCAGTGCTTAAAGACACTGCCTAACTTAGTAGTGAAGAATTTCATTCAACCCCTAGTGAGCAGGAGGAGAAGAATTAAAAGGCAAATTTTGGTCACCCTTTCCTCTTTCAGGAAAGAAAGTTGAGCTACTTTGCTTGGAAACAGATTATTATTATTATTTTTTTAATTCTTTTTTAATGTTTATTTTTGAGAGAGAGAGAGAGAGAGAGAGAGAGAGAGAGAGAGCAAGCATGAGTAGGGGAGGGGCACAGAGAAAGGGAGACCAAGAATCTGAAGCAGGATCCAGGTTGTGAGCTGTCAGCACAGAGCCTGATGTGGGGCTCAAACTCACAGACTGTGGGATTGTGACCTGAGTCAAAGTCAGACGCTTAATCGACTGAGCCACCCAGGCACCCCGGAAACAGATTATTTTATGCCAGCTTTAGTAGATAGGCAAAATAAAGCATCTTAGGAGGGGTAGGTGATTTAATGTCTTTTTTTGGGCATAAATAATTTGTTTTCTGATGGAGGAGATAAAATGCCCTATCAGTTGACAAATTTTTTGAGCATGCAGACATTTATTTAAGAAACAGAAGGTAACCATAAAGATGAGAAAAGCCACTTTGTGTTTGAGAGTCCCCAAAGATTCTTCCCCACAGTGGCCAGAGGAGTAACCATGCAGATACAGAACGAAAACATAAAGCTCTGAAGATACACTGTGAGGGAGCTACTGTAATGACAGCAAATTATTTATAAAGTATATGTGGTTTTTGATACTAACTTTGATATGCTTGATATGAGAACTTATGCAGGATTTCTGTTTGCTGGCAAACAGAAATATAATTTCACGAGCCAGAAAGAATTAAGATTGGTACATATTTAATTATATTTTTCTCCTGTGCTTGTATAACCAGGTGATGGAAAGAAGAACACTTTTTTCCAGAGATTAGTTTTTGCCTCTAAATGTTTTTCCCATCCCTGTTTCTTATCAGTTTCTTATGCGTGCACTCATATTTGTGTTTAATTAAAGTTTCATAGTGAAATTAATTTTATTAAGGCACTAGAAAGAACAGAAAAGGACTTCGTGGTTTCATGGTTCACAAAACCCCACAGTGCTCCCTTATTATTCTGGAGTTACTGAAATGATGAAAGGTATCTGCTGTAGATAAGAAAAGCTGAATAGTTTGCAAGGCTTGAATTTCTACACACAGTAAGTAGAGAGACTTTTTTTTCTTTTCCTCTTTTTCAGAGTAGAACTTTTCATTTATTTTCAGCAGAGTTCTCTTTTGCTGTGTGACAAAGGGCAGTTTTTAAGTTAGCAAATTTTTTTTTATTAAAAAAATTTTTTTTTATTAAAAAAATTTTTTTTAACATTTATTTATTATAGAGAGACACAGAGAGAGCATGAACATGGGAGGAGCAGAGAGAGGAGGAGACACAGAATCTGAAGGAGGCTCCAGGCTCTGAGCTGTTAGCGCAGAGCCCGACGCAGAGCTAGAACTCATGAACTGCAAGATCATGACCTGAGCCAAAGTTGGACTCCTAACCGACTGAGCCACCTGGGCGATTCTAGTTAACAAATATTTTTTGTATAAATAATGGGCACCTGTCATTTGACAGAGCATTTTAGTCTCATGTGGCCATTTGAAAATCTCACGAGGGGCGCCTGGGTGGCTCAGTCAGTTGAGTGTCTGACTTTGGCTCAGGTCATGATCTCATGGTTCATGAGTTCGAGCCCCACATCAGGCTCTGTGTTGACAGCTTGGAGCCTGGAGCCTGCTTCGGATTCTCTGTCTCGCTCTCTCTCTGCCCCTCCCCTGCTCATGCTCTGTCTCTCTCTGTCTCAAAAATAAATAAAACATGAAGAAAAATTAAAAAAAAAAAAAAACAAAAAGAAAATCTCACAAAAGCCACCGTTTGTTCAAAAACCATTTTTCATTAAACTTTGCATAAATTTCAGGGGCTTTATGGGCTGTTTTAAACTGAATCTGAGCTATGTAGGAGACATATAGATCAAGTGGAAAAACTGATGTGTCATCAAGGAGCTGAAAGACACTCAAATACTCAAGATGTAAATGTCAAAATAACTAGGGCACCTCTTCCAAACTGTGAGTGATTAAACACGGGCTTTGAATTGCTGAGCAAGTGCTGTGGACATTCACAGTGGGGATACTCACAGGGAATGATGTTCAGCAGGCTTTGGTAGGAAAGATGGAACTTAGCTGAACCAAAATGGCGTGTAGATACTCTCTCTTTACCAGAGACGTAGGGCTTGCAGTTTGGCCGGAAAGAGGATAAGACGTCATGATAGCTGACTGTAAGAGAAGAGAAGAGCATGATGGTGTAGAAAGAGTAAAAACTGGAGTAGCCACATGACAGAGAAGTGGGAGATGGTCATGGATGGGCAGATCTTGAAGGAGTGGAAATGAAAAAATTACGCTGTTACAGTGTCAACTGTATGATAGGTTTTAAATTAAGTCAGTAACTTTTCAATCACTGAGGAAGCGGGCAACCGTAGTTTTAGTTGTACTGAGATCACTTCTGGGGTGGTCTGTTTATCATGTCCTTAGGGGAATTTCTTCATCTTCAAACTTATGAAGTTGTAAGTGTCCTTTGAGTGTTTTACAATTAATAAATAAAAAATTCATCCTTAGTAATCTAGAAAGGCCAAAGAATAAATAGATATTAGATGTCAGGCTTTACAGTTGGGGGAAGAATGAAAAAAGTATCTCTAGTTTCCCAGATAGTTATTTTATACCACTTATTCCAACAGGATTTTAGCTACTCTCATTTTTTTTAATTAATTAATTTATTTTGAGAGAGAGAGAGCAAGCGGGGAAGAGGCAGCGAGAGGGAGAGCCAGAATCCTGGAGTGGGGCTCGAACTCACAAACAGTGAGATCATTCGCTGAGCCAAGATCGATAGTTGGGTGCTCAACCAGTTGAGCCACTCAGGTGCCCCACTACTGTCATTATTAAATAAAGTTAGTCTTTGGCATATTAGTTATATCATCCATTAAAACATTTTTTATTACATTTCGAGGTGTATTATAAGTACTACTTTTTTTTTTTTTTTTTTTTTTTTTTTTTTAATGACTGTGGATTGACTGGGTGTTCCTTCTGCCTTAGCTTGTGTAGCTATTCTCAGATGGTGGCTGGGTAGGGCTGGGAGGCCAAAGATACCATCTTTGCTAAGTTTAGGGGCTTCTTGCTGACGTTTGGCTGGAGTGCCTCTAAACTTCTCCACAAGGCCTCTTTCTTCATGTGATGTCTCCTCTTCCAGGGCCTTTCTGTATGGTCCTCAAGGGGACTGACCTGTGTTTAGATTTCTGGAGCTCTTTTCTGTGTAGCTTCTTCTTCTTCTTCAGTATGTACAGATTCTAGCTGCATAGACTCCTGGAACTCTGATCTCTATCTCTTTGACTCACTGAGACTGTTTTGCTGTGTTTGGATTTCCTTTCTTGCCCCACAGTCTGAAAAGTGCTATCAGAGAGCTGTGGCTCTTGTTTGTGTCTCTTCTATCAAGTCTTAATCCCATACTGCTTACTGTGTAACATCTAAGAGCAGTGCCTCCCTCTCTGCCTTAAAATTTTTTTGCTAGTTGTTGGCAGTGGAAGAGTACTCTCTCATGGCCAGAAGTAGAAATCATAAACCTTTTCCTATGCCCTTGGTACAAACCTTTTATGGTTTTTACCATAAAATAGTAGTTTCTCATTTTCTCACTTGTTACCATACGGTTTTTCAGTATTTATCATTGTCTCTGTTTTTTACTTGTTTCCTGTATTACAGTTAAAGAGCCTATTTTATTTTCTTGTTTCTCTCTCCTTTATTCTCATCTTTTGATATGCATTAATTTTACTTTTTCGGAGCATTTAACATTTGTATATTCTTTGTGTATTCTCTTCCCCATCTTCATTTTAGTGTTAGATTTGCGACTGATTGTATCAGTCCTTTTGCCAAACCTTCCCCCAACACCTCCTGGTTGGATAAAGCCCCTCCTGTGGTAGGTGCCCCAAGAAGCGCTCATGTATATAGTGTTTCTTTGGTTCCTGTGTATTTAAAACTATTTTTCTATACCCTGCATACTTGAAGAACAACTTGGCTGGATATGAAATCTTGAGTTTCTTAAAAATGGTGCTCCATGGACCTTGCTTTGAATGTGGCTTTTGAACACTCTGATGACAGTCTTTTTATCTTTCTCCAGGTTTCTTGGTCTTTATTCTTTAGGCCCTTAGAGTTGTTCTTTATCTTTTTTCTTTACCTTTAAAGTCAAGTAGTTTTACTAGGCTGGGTCTCAGTGTTGCCCATTCCTGGCCATTGACCCTATGTCACTAGTGGTCCTTTTTAATAGGTATATTTAGATAGTAAAATTTTTTTAAAATTAAAAAAAAAATTTTTAATGTTTATTTTATTTTATTTTATTTTTTATTTTTGAGAGAGAGAGAGACAGAGACAGAGTTCAAGCAGGGGAATGGCAGAGAAAGAGGGAGACACAGAATCTGAAGCAGGCTCCAGGCTCTGAGTTGTCAGCACAGCTGACAATGTCATGAATCACGAGATCACAACCTGAGCCGAAGTCAGATGCTTAACAGACTGAGCCACCCAGGCGCCCCTAGGATTATAATTTTA